AGGGTTCAGGGTTTAGGGTTTCATATAAGGGTTTTGGGGTTTCATATAAGGGTTTTGGGGTTTCATATAAGGGTTAAGGGCTTCATGTAAGGATTCTACAAGGGATTTGGGCTTAGGCTTAGGGCTTGATCGTTGAAGTTAGAGGGGCTAGGGTGCGGCTTTACAGGTGTTGAATGCGGGTTCTCATAAGGATTAGAATAGGGACTTCTGTAAGGCGTTGCTGTGAACCTGATGTAGACAACCATAGTTGTCGATGCTGTCGGGTTCAAGAATTGTCGTTCAAAGAGGGCTGTTGGACTTAGCTCCAAGGGCCACTGGTTAGAGAGTGTAGTAGCGCTTAGAGCTACAGCTTTTCCGAGGGTTAGCAGGGCATCTGCCACACGAAGGTAGCAGACACGCTAAACCCCAAACTCTAAGCCCCGAACTCCTGAACCCCCCTAAACCCTAAACCCTAAACCCAAAACCCTACACCCCTAAACCAACCCTTAACCCTAAACGCTACAAACCAACCAGGCCGCAGCACTCCTCCGAGACGGCCAACAGCAAGGGCAAGGCCTTTGCAGACTCTTCACCTGAGCTGGGAGTCGTTATCTGTATCCCCAAACCCTACGAAATAGTAGGTTATGACCCCTTACTTATAGGAAATGGTAGGTTATTGGATGCCCAGGTAGGGTTTCGGGACGGTTTAGGGTAGGCCCTCCTCTCAATCCGGGGCGGCAGCCCCAGATAAGGGTTACTACCAGGGTGACGAGTAGGGTTGTGCAAAGGTTACTGTTAGGGTTTCGTTAGTGTTAGGGTTTCGGGATGTATAGGCTAGCAAAGGCTAGTAACCTAGGTTCCTGGTTTCTTTGAGGGTGTTACATCAAAGGGGTTCCTCGAGTTGGGTGCCGCCTCAATTTCGGGTGCCACTTCAGTTCGCGGGCTGTGGGCCGAAGTAGCATGCAGAATTCGAGGTGGAACGACACTTGAGGTGGCATGCATCTAAAATCTAAAATGTGATGGGTTTAGTTGGGAAGGGCATTTGCTTTGGGAAGAAACGTGCTAGATGCCAAATGCATGCTGCCACAGTTTGGATGCTGCTTCAGTTTAGGGTGCTGCCTCGGCCCGTGGTCTGCGAGCTGAGGCAGCACGCTGTCATTGAGGTGGAACGATAGTCGAGGTGGAACGGCTAGGGAAACCCCTGATTAGAATGGTTTTGCAAGATATGAAAGATCCCACCCAAAGCTCTCAACCGGTCTGAAAGGTTCCAGGTTTGCAAACCGAGGGCCAGACATGCGGCACCGAGCCCCAAGAAAATCCCCCAAGTCCTAAACCACGATCCCGACATGGCAACACAACTAAGCTACAGTTAACCTTACAATCGATTCCAAGCGACGGTTGGGTGACATCAGCGCCTCGTGCAATGGGAAAGGTAGCTGAAAAGGAAGAACTAGAACCGAAATCTTACCCCCACCCTGAACCCTAAACCCTAAACCACCTTGAATAAACCCCCAAAATGTTGTTATTACAGACAATATCAACTTCTTTGAGGCACCAGTCCCCAACAAACACCGGGACTTCATGGCTGATGGTTTTGAAGGTTGGGGCATGTTTGCTGAGGTTCGTAGGGCGAAGAAAAGGTCCGGGGAAAAAGGTCCCTGCGCAGCAAGCTTTTGCAGATTGACTTTTGCCCCCGTTATCATCCTGGGAATCGTCGTTATCATGATTGCCATCAGCATTTGTAACTATAGTAAAGTAATGATGGTTATAGCAATCGCTGTCAAGTCTCATGGCCACCGCCATCACCAGCCATGAGCATGGTCATCATGTGCAGATGTTCATCGTCACTGCAATTACCATCGTTATTATCATCGTTGCCATCATAGCCATCATCATTTTTGGCCAGCATCGTTATAACCATCGTCACCAGCAGGTTGAGCATCGGGTTCATTTTGGGGCTGGGACCTCATGTCAGGGTACAGGGAAGGTCCTGGGGGTCCCAGTACCTGCAAATGGTGAGAGCCAACGGGAACAGGGGCGGCCCCGGAAACTGGGACGACCCATAGAGACTTTCAGAGTTCATGGCTTAGGGCACTAATGGGGTGTCACAGGGCCAGAGCCAGAAGCCTTCACAGGCGTTTGCAGTTGCTGGAAGTCTGCATGCGGCTTGGCCTAAATCATAAGCCCTGCGACTTAAACTCCGAACTTGATGTCTAGGACCCGGGAAAGGGAGCGCAATGCAGAACAACCCCCGCATGCAACTCGCTGTGTCGACTCTTCTTGGGTGGGGGCATATGAGTTCTCAGAGTCACTCTGTATAACATAGGTAACATAGGGCCTCAATATTTTTAATCAGTTTTTGTTGGGGGGGGTAGTGTGGTATAAGTATGATCCAGTATGATGGTGGCATATGGTAACTGTCAGGGATGAAAGAATTCGCAGCTATTCCGACCTGATCTTTACGGTGAGCATGTACTCTGGTGAAGTACGATTCGACAATGGAAGCCCCGCTGATTAAGCAACATCGACAAGTACGCTGACCAATGCATTGAGGTCGAACTAGCTCATCTCCTGTCACCCTTCACCCTAGCCCCTGAAAGCCCGAAGCCCTAAACCCCTAAACCCAAAACCCTAAGCCCCGGAATCGCTAAGCCTTAACACCTACCACCCCCCGAGCAATCCTCGAGGTCTTCCACGGCATCGACGAAAACTGTTGAATTGAGCCCTGCAAGGACGGGGTGGAAAGGAGTGCCGGGGCTTTGGAGGCATTTGCCGACTTTATGTTTTCTAGTAACTAAACCCTAAATCCCTAAAGGCCCTAAACCCTAAACCGTGGCTCTGGATTCTAGTGGTTTAGAGTTCTAGGGATTTCTAGGGTTTAGGGCTCAAGGGTTCTCGCATTCCTATGCGGTTTAGGGTTTAGGGTTTGGGGAGCTCTTGCTGTCGGCCTGCCCGAGCAAGCGAAACTCTATGCAACCCACACACATGCACTAACAACGACGAAACCCTCAACCCTTGAAGCCCCTACACCCGAAAACATCAAAGCGCTGAAGCCTGCAAACCTGGCAACCAATGTCCTCGCTTGCCACCCTTTGGTTACATGGCACTAATTTAGAGGTACCCGGGCCTCTACTCACGGACTCCGAAATAGACCCAGCCCACAAAAGAAATTGACAAACTGGCCAGTGAAGAGAGTACCAGTATACTAACGGAGAAGACGATAGTGGGTCGGTGATGTTGAAGGGTTGGATATCTTTGTTGAGGTTCGTATGGCTAACGGAAGTCTGGAAATAGGTCTCTGCACGGCAAACTTGTGTAGCTTGCCACGTCGTTACTGCTATTGACTGTTAAAAAGAACGTGATGATTCTTCATCATCAGCTTGAGTGATGTCACCGTGACCGCTAACATCTTATGATGCTGATGTCATCATGGGTCATCCTCATGGGGGATAATGGCGCCCTTTGCAAAGGACGTTTACAAAGATTCTAGTTCTAGCGCACCTGCCTCCGGAAACAGGCTTCCTCCTGGAGTTGTTGCAGGCAGTTGGTTTGCGCCGAGTGTTTGGAAACGCTTCAGAGTCGAGTTTTGCACGCGCCAGTCGCGCTTTCGGCCTGGTGAGGCTCTTACGCGATACGTCGTAGATGTCGTAGATTGAAAGTAGCACTGGCGAACATGCCGACAGTACCGCGCCCGCCGCACGAAACAAGGTTTCACGTAGGATAGAATCTGCTCGGGCTGCTTCAGTAGATTCTCAATCCTTAAGTCAGCCCTGTTTCGTGTGACAGGCGCAGTACTTTCGGTATGTTCTCCAGTGCTACCTTCCATCTACTACTGCCTGCCTAAGAGCCTCGTCATAGTGTATCTGGAAACACAGAACGTCATCACCCCCGCCCCATCCCCTGCCCCACACCCACACGAAGAAGCAAAACGTAGGCGCAGTTATCCCCCGCATGTGCATGGTCATCATCATCATCATCATCATCATCATCAACATTAACATCGTCACTATCAATGCTAACAGCATCGCCACCCATCATGATCCTGAGTATCACCGTCATGATCGGCATCATCAAGATGTATCGGCAACCTCACCATCATAACATCCTGACGGGCACGAACACGGTCGTCAGTATCTTCAGCTTGCCAGTCCAATGGTCGGCATCAACATTGTTATTGTCGTCACATGTGTCATCTCCATGGTGATTCCCAGCACTGTCGTCATCATCTTGATCCAGCATGTACACCAGCATCTTCGAAGTCCTCAGCATCATAGCAACAGCATGTTGAGAAGTGCTTTTTGGGCAGCTGGGACCTTCGCTAAGCAACATACCTCGTACAGAGGCTTTCGAGACTCTGGGCAACGGCACCCCAACACCTGTCAACAGCCGGCCTTGCCCACCCGGCCAGGATCGAAGGAGCAGGTCCGGATACCTGCATGCCAGCGAGGGAAACAAGAAGCGAAGCAGACATTTGGTACAGGGGTTGTGGGTTTCAGGGTTATCCATTCAGCCGGTAGCCCAGCAAGAAAAGTTGACAGACTCCAAGAAGGACTCGGCGGCAATTCGTGAGGGGTGTCGGGACTGTTTCAAGTCTATTTACTGATGGCAAAGCTGAAAGGTGCAAAGCTCGGGGGAACTTTACAGTGTACACGCCTACTCAGGGATGGGCGGGGTTCAGCATGCAGGGGTTCAAGGTCCAGCGATGTGGAGGGTTCAAAGGAAAACAAAGAGTTTCCGAGGATGCCAGACTCCAAAGTTATCCTACATAGTCCTTGGTGTCGTACTAAGCATACACTGCACCCCACTATAGGGGCCTTAATAATTTTAGAATGGGCTTTGGGGGCCCCCTTAAACTATAATTATAATAAGGACCCCCCCAAAAAAAAAAAATAGTATTGGCAATTATTTAGGCCCCTATGTTACACCCTGTTCCGGCAAGGCTTCTATGGTTCTGGGAGTCCGTCTTAGGGGTTTCACGGGCTCCGGGCCCTGCCGGACTTTTGAAATTGGGTTTAGAGTTGAGGGTTTAGGGGCTAGGGCCAGACTTACTCAACATGTGGGATCTTTTTGCGATCTTCGAAGCTGAAACCCCAGAAGCCCTCAACCCTAAACCCAAAACCCTTCAAAGCCCACATAAACCCCTATAAACCCCTATAAAACTCCGATTCAAAAGCCCAAATCCTTAAAGGGGCTCAGGGGGTTCGGCCTCTCGGCCGTGAGGCGGCGCACGTCTCCGAGGTCGGCAGCCTGCTTCAGCTGCTGTATAAGGGCCTTGCTGTAAAGGTTTTGGGGTTTAGGGTGCAGGGTTTTAGGGTTTAGGGTGTAGGGATTTAGGGTTTAGGGTGTAGGGTTTTAGGGTTTAGGGGGGTTTAGGGTTTAGGGTAGGGTTTAGCCTATGGGTCCATGTACCTATACAGTAAAGTAGTCCCTATCTAGGTACTTTGGGGCCTTAATGAGTGATTAGAATCTTAGAATATGGCTCGTTGAATAAGGTTTTATAAACCCTAAACTTGGTAAGGTTGTATAGGCATAGGGTCTTATAATGTTTTGGGGTGTACTGTAAGCGCCTTCCTCGTGGGACTAGGGCTTTGGGGTATATTAAACCACAGTTATATATGACAAATTACGTTTTGTTTCGGGCGGATTATGACAATGAAAAACGAGCACGAGCATGAGCTCCCATTCAAAGCACTACTAGTCACAATCACGGCATATAAGCTTTCGTCCGACCGAACAAGATATCTGAAATCAACCCGCCCTACACCCCAAAACTTTACATCGTACACTTCACCCCTAATCACCGAAGCCTGGTTTACGTACTACAAGAACCGTCAGAACCCAAACCTTAAGTCACAACAAACGCCTAACCTCTAAACACCAAACCTTAAGAACTTCTTCACTTCACTTCCGTGCATAATACGTCCAGCAATAAGAGCCCCTGAAATCCTAAACCCTAAACTCTTTAAACTCTTAAATTCTAAACCGTGAACTCTTAAACTCGTAAACCCTAGACTCTTAGACTCTTAAATCCCAAATCCCCAAACCCTGGCTTCCCTGTTGATCGGCCCCACCGCGACGGCAGCGAAGACCGAGCGAGGAGCAAGGGAACGCGCCAGAACCTGGGGACTTTTCTTTTGGGCTTAAGGTTTAGGGTTTCGGGGTTTCGGGNNGCCCGGGGGCTCTCTTGGAGCTTTACCTTAGGGCTTATAGAGTTTAGGGCTTAGGGTTTAGGGTTTAGGGTTGAGGGTTTAGGGTTTTAGGGTTTAGGGTTTAGGGTTTAGGGTTTAGGGCTTAGGGTTTAGGCTGGCACCTGTCAGGGATTGCAGCGGGTTTACATAGTGGTCATGGGATTGTCCTAGGGTTTTACCTACCTGTCAATCACATGGTTTCACAGGGCTAGGGATTTACAAAGGCGTTGCAAGGTTTTTGAAGGAGGGCTTGGGTAAGACATCGTCAAGGGCGGACTAATGGTCCATAATTATGCCTTGGGTTTGATCGAGGGTGCTTGGCTGGCGGGAGTATGAAAGAAGTCTGAGGGCTGATTGCAGGCTCAGGGTCTAGAGATTTTGGGCCTGGCGTGGAATGGGATTTTGGAGTCGGGTTTTGAGCCTGGTGGCCAAGCCAGGGAAGGTCAAGTAGATGAGTTTGTAGCCCCCAATCATGGAGCATAGCAGCTCACCCAAGTCCCCTATGCACTTAGCCCTCAACCTGACACCCACTGAATCCCTACAGCCCCGTACGCATGCCTCCTCTGGACCGCATTGCCCACGGACACCAGCCCCGTCACCTGGTCCGAGGCACGAACTTTTGGATTCAGCATGCAAGGGTTTAGGGTTTGGCTTTGTTTTTTGTTTGGGTGTTGTAGGTTGAAGGTTTAGAATTGCGAATGCTACTGCCTTGATAGACTGTTCGTGGCTCTATTGGGTGGCACGGGGCTTTGCAAGGATTTTGGCTTCAGCACTTTAAGCGGCTCGGCTGATGGACGAGATTCTACCATGACTCCCCAGAAGCTCCACCCCTTAAGCCACAAAGCCTCAGTCCCTAAACCAAGACCCCACACATGAAAGCCCCCTAAACCGCAAACCCGAAATCCCTCTGAACTGACCTATCCTCTTTTCTTGACAATGAATGCGGACCATAAGAGTGCAGCATTTCGACCCCCATCTTGACCCCCCTATGTTGGACCCTAGGCAACCATGACTAAGCCTAGTGACTAAGCACCATTGAAGGCTACCGGGCTCTAGGCTACCACAGGAACCAGAATAACTTGAGCACGGTTTGGGGTACATTACAGTATCGGTCAATCATCTTTGGTAACCGTAAAGTTGGGTTTCGGGTTTAGGGGTAACCGTAAGGAAAATTGGAACAGGGCTCTGGGATGGGTTATAGTGACATTACCATCGGGATCCCCAAGGAACAATAAACAGAAGTTTCGGGGGAGGCTGTCGCGCCAGTGTATTGGGGAGCCCTTGGAAGACAGTTTCTAGCTATCTCGACCACCCAAACGGACATATCGTGCAACCCTTATAGTAGCTTCAAGCAACCCTTAACGAACCCTTCTCTCATTGTTCCCTAAACCTTAAGCCCTTAACATGACTAACCCCACTACATTATAGAACCCTTGCCAGCATATTGGATCCCTTGAAGGAACTCTTACAGGCCCCTGTCCTGATTATTATGCCGACCCCCAAAGAATCCCAAACCCTAAACCTAAAGGTCAGTAATTGTAAATACTTTGGCGCCAAAGTACCTATACCCTAAACCCTAAAACCCTAAAACCCAACACCCTAAAATTTTCAAACCCTAAACCCTAAGTCCTAAAATCCTAAACCCTAAACCCTAAAACCCTAAAACCCTACACCCTAAAACGCTAAACCCGAAAACCCTAAACCCTAAACCCTAAAACCCTAAACCCCTACACCCTAAAACCCTAAACCCGAAAACCCTAAACCCTAAACCCTAAAACGCTAAACCCGAAAACCCTAAACCCTAAACCCTAAAACCCTAAACCCCTACACCCTAAAACCCTAAACCCGAAAACCCTAAACCCTAAACCCTAAAACCCTAAACCCGAGAACCCTAAAGCTTCATCCCAGCCCAGCGACACTGGAAGCTGGCGAAAGCTACCCGAGAGACTTCGGGCACCAGGCAGTCCTTCAGGGTATTTAGGGTTCAGGGTTCCAGGGCCTCATCATGGGATTTAGGGTTTAGGGTTCAGGGTTCAGGGTTTAGGGTTTAGGGCTCAGGGTTTGCAGGGTTTAGGGCCAAGTTTAGGGTTTAGGGTTCTGGGACCTCTATGGGGGTAAAGCTTAGGCTTAGGGGAGGTGGGTCCAGGGTTTGGGGGGGTTTAGGGTTTAGAGGCTTGGAGGGTTTTGGGATTTAGGGGCTTAGGGTATTCTAGGATCAGCGAAACGCACTTAAACACAACGTTGTGGAGGCAATCTTCCTGCAAGGGGGCAGGTTTCACTATCCCAAGGGCTCCAGTTACCTAAATAGTAGGGTACTAACCCTATATTATGTACCCCAGTAACCTACTATTTAGGTAACTGGAGCCCTAGGGTATGTTCTGTTCAGGTGCTTGTGGTTCCTGGGACGGCGTCAGGGCTTTCCTGCTCAACAAACGCAGAGCCTCCTTGGGTTGCGTCATGACGGTAGCCCTGCAATAGGTGATCCCTAAGAGTACTGCAGTCTGAGGCGTGTGAGGTCTACTCCGCGATTCGGGTTCTAGGCGTAACCAGCTTTAGGGTCTCTCTCGCTCCAGACTATTGAGTTATGAAGTTGTGAGACCCCAAATATCTTTCTTGGTATAGTATATACTCCGGTCTTGAAGAAACCTACATATGTCGGTACATCGGCACCCCGTTAAGGCCAAAGAACACTCTCAGGGAAGGGAGCCCGAACGCGAAAGTCTATCAGCTCATACATGAGAACCGGCTTTGAAAATGCACACTATACTGTAAACTCTGCGGAATACGACCACCCTTCTGAACAATGCTTATGAACCCGTTCCAGCCTTTTCCACCCTATACAAACACAGACAAGTTTGTCTGGAACCTCAGTGACTGTGGTCGGTGACGAGAGTCCGTCGATCTGAAACGGGGGATTTCGGACTTCGCCAGGGCCTCATCTTGGTTTACGGCCTTTCTAGTGGGTTTACATGCATACCGAGAATACTGAGGGTCTAGGGCTTGACGCCTTTGGGCCTTCAGAGTTCTGGGCTTAGATGTGGAGTTCACGACTTCTGGTAAAACAAGGGTCTGCCGCTTTCAGCTGCGACTGCCCGTGACGAAGTGGTTACGGTTTAAGACGTCCAATCTGAAGAACCCGCCTGAGCCCCGAAGTTCTCCGAATATCAGATCCCGCGTCCTGCTTGCTCATCTGCTTGCGAGCCCGCAGCATCGCCTGCCAGGACCTGGAGGAGGGGAACCCCCTGAGACGAAGAGTCTTTCCCTAAAGGGGTCGCCGCTCTTACGTTGAGGGCCACCCTGCAATTTTCCGCCCTGCCCTGCCCTGTTTGAAACGCAGCAAGACGAAAGCGGTAGATGTAGATCGTGATGTGTCGTATACGCAGCAACAAACCACTATCATTCAGCTGCCATGAGCCCTGCAACACAGCATGGCAACCTCTTCAAGGCAAGCTCCACACTTGCCAGTGCTTTCATGGACTGCAGGCCCGTAGCCGCAGACGCATCTAAAAATCTGATGAAACTGCGGCTTTAAGCCCAGGCTGGTCCCGAACGAACAAGAAACCCCAGACCCCAAAGCCCCACAAACCCAAGTTCGAACAAGCAGCGTCGTCTCGCGTTCTTGCCATGCGAAGAGAAGGTCCTCTGAGAAGTCATAAGTTCTGGGTGTTGTAAGCTTCGGTTTGCGGCTGCAAGAACGACGACAGAACCTCAAGACTTACTCACACGCACAGTAGTTTCATCATTAGCTGCATAACTTGGCAAAGCCACACGGGCAACCATTGGCCCCCCCCCCCGTCAGGAGTCCTGCCGCACTGCCTCCAACCGAACGATCCAAGCGACACCAGAGAACCTGAGTAGTGATGAGTAGTGGACATGTTAGGAAGGCAACTGCTCATTAGGGCTTCTGACTGTAGCTGAATCGTCAAACCGAAGCAAGGTGACATTATTCACGATGCGTGGTTTCAGCATGCGTGCAAATGATCCCCAATTTGCTGGCCCAGCATTCTGAGCCCACCTTTACTGTTGGGGAAGGATACCCGACACTCTCAATCCTAAGCGCTAAATCTAAAACTCTCAACCCTAACCCCAACCCCAACCCCCAAAGCTTAGCACCGGCCTTTCTAAACCCAAAAACCCCTAAACCCCCAGAGCAGGGCTTCGAATCACCAAAGCCTAAACCCTCAACCTGAAGCCCTGGGATAGCACCCTAAGGGTCCATGTACCCTATATGGGGACTACTTTGAGGCCAAAGTACATACTATTTGGGTACATGGACCCTCAGGGCCAGTTCATGGAAGAAGAGAGAGAAGGACCAGGGTTCCAACCAGCGCCAGACCCGGAAGTCAATTAAGCTTCAAACCATAAAACATACTTCCTACTAATATGGGGAACTAAATAACTACTTGGAGGGTCGGGGGACTCAGTAAGTGGTTATTTTATAGACTTATAAGTACTATAACCCCAATATACCCCAATTAGGCGTCTCTTCTAGGGTACTTATAAGTCTACTTCTTACCTACATACTAAGTCTCGCGACCCTCCAAGTACCAATACTATTCTTAGGGCTCCTTATTGCAACTGTAATATGTAACATGCACCCAAACCCTATTCTAATCATTATTATTCTTTTAAGGCCCCTACATTATCCCGAACCCTACTTTGTATTAGGGTCTGTTGCGTAGGTCAGGGGTACTGGGGCTCTCTGGCTAATGTACTACGCTCTTGTTGAATATTCTCGACCCTAAACCCCCTATACCCTGAACCGCCCTTAATGCCCAAACCCCTACAATTACCCCTAAAGCCGAAACTTCCGACCCCGAACCCCCAACCTGAAACCCTACTGATATCCTAAACCCCTAAACTAAAATCCCCCAAACCTCACATCCTAAACCCTATAGTGACCCGTAAACTCTATAGAAACCCTGGTAAGCCCCTACAGCTGCAAATTATACAAGCCCTGGACCCCCAAACCATAAAACCCTATACTAAACCCTAGACCCTGTAGTAAACCCTAAACCCTAGACTCACGGTTTAGGGTTTAGGATTCAGGGTTTAGGGTTTATGCGGTTTAGGGTTAGTTCAGGGTTTAGACCGCCAAACCATAAACCCCTAAACCTCAACCCATCCCTGAGCCCTCCGGCCAGTCTGTGCGCATCACCGCAGAGAGGTCGCGGCTGTAGGGAGCCAGGCCATTGTCGTGCCAGGCCTAAGGGAGGGTGTTATAAGGTTTTACAGGGTCCCACTAGGTTCTGCGAGTTTTCTATGAGAGAGGTTTGGCAGAGGTTTTTGCAAGTTTTGTAGATTGTAGAGCGTTTATATGCCCTAGACCCTAAACCCTGAATGGGCCTTGCAGGGTTTTGCAGAAAGGGTTCGTCCCAGGAGTTCAGAGGACTTTGTAGCGAAGGGTTTCACGGAGCTTGCAGAATCACTTCGATGTTGTATGCGGGCTTTTGGGATCCATTCAAGATACCCGGCTTGACCACATGGCCTCGACCAGGGCCATACAAGAAGACGATGCAGCTTGGGAGAGCCTGTCGTAAAAGCTTCATGAAGCCTTCTTTCGACTTTTCAACTCCTAGGACCTAAGAGTCTAATGACTAATGTGCACAACATATAAGGGCCTTAAAACTTAGAATAGGGCTTTGGTGACCTTTATACTCTACTTATAATAATTAAAGAACCCCAAAAAATAGTATGGGTAGTTCTTTATAGGCCCCTATATGAATAGGGCTTTAAATGCTCGCGGTTATCGGGTCTTGGGCTTCGGGCTTACGAGGTTTAGGTGGTCTGTGTCAGGAAACCGCTGATGGGCGTTACGGCACCTCGCGGTCCGTGAGGTTAGCACAGAAGGTCTTCCCCGCATCTCTGATATCACGTGGATAATTGCCTCCATCATGGCCTCGCATTGGTCGCCCGGTTCGCAGGCCCAAGATAGAGCACTGATCCAGTTGTCTGTTATTTGCTGTCCAAAGTTCACTCGCCAGCCATGGCGCCAGGGTATATGATAGACTGTAATCTGAACCTGTATAAGTTATTTTTGTACTTGTAACTCCGGGTACAAAGAAAAACTTAAACACGAAGGATACGGTTCTTGTCAACGCCAAATACGCAAGCCTCCACAGCGTCCTTGTCTGAACCCCTGAACCCGAAACCGTCGCTCCCCCCCCCCCCGATCCCTCCACCCTACAGCCTGAACAATATCCCAGATGGTCAGTTTTGTCGCAATCTCTCTACAGAGCCCCCAGAACGGCACATAAGCAAAACATAGGAGAGTGATATCCCATGTAGACCCCTTATAATGAAGCCCAATAAGGTAGGGATATCCCTATGAAATGCTTTTGCTCATGTCCTTTTTGGGTTCCGACTCTAATTTGAACATGATCAATGCCGAAGACAATAACAAAAGGGTGTTGTTTCTGCACACAAAATATGTTTCCGAGAACCACCACCCCACCCCATTGATCAAAGTTCACACCCAAGATCACGAAATGCGAGGCCCATACCAAAACCCGGAAACCCTAAACCCTATATCTCCATTACGTGAGCTTCCCTAGCGGCCCTACTGAAGCTAGCGAAGTAACAAGTGAGCCAGGCCTAAATCCAAAACCGCAAGTTAGGAATGCACGGGCTCGCATAACTGGAACAGGAGACCATGATTCCGAAAGAGAACACTATCTCTAATTGCTCAGGCCCCTGGAATGTTCTTACAGAAACCATAAAACTAAGTCCTGATCAAACCCTATTAAATTTGCCGTGGTAAAACCATGCTTTCAAGTTGCGCTGATACACCAAAGAGTCTCATCCTGCATTACAGTTCGGTTCAGGGTTTAGGGCTTAGCGCCAGGGCTCAAGGTTGAGAGTTCGAGGTGAAACTACTTGTCATGACTACTGTAGCGTCTGGTATGGGCTGTAAGGGCTCTATACCGGCTCGAGGCGAAATCGGGGAATTCTAGTGAGAAGTCAAAATGCTCAGAGATATGGGTTTTACCCATAGCAGGATCTCCATTCCTGGTATCCTAATCCCACCAATACTCCTAGCAAGCCTGATGTGTTTCACAAGTCACCAGCCGGAATACTGTCATTTAGTAAGAATTCGTTAAGCTTAAAGTCACTAGGGATGCGAACCTAGTCGTGAAAACCTGCAAAGGCAAGCTCCCACAGCGTCCTCCTCCCTATACTCGTAAGGAGGTCCTACAGTAACTACATATGTGTATATATATATATGTATGTATATCAATATGTTAGATTATGCTTATACATTTCAGTTCACTCACCGAAATTATGCCTACCTCAGGTCAATCTAGCGGGTTAACGTCTGATGGCGCTGGAAGATACGAGAGATCCGTTCCAAGCTCCAGCTGTTCCTTCATCTGCTGCTCCCACCCGAACCCTCCCGGTACCTACTATAGAGGGTACTAGAGGTGCTAGGGCCCTATATGACTATAATTAGAGTATACTGGGCCTCAGAACCCTTTTCTAATTATTAAGGCCCCTACATTAGGTCCCTGGAGGGTTAGAGCCAGGACTCTTCCAGCCGTCCGAGATGGGAGTTTCCGAAAAGAAGGGGTACCTTATTTTGGGGTCCTTATACTATTTAGGGTACTATATTGGAGTTTCCGAAAATTAGGGGGAACCTTACTTTGGGGTCCTTATAATAATAAGGATCCTAGGGGTCCCCTATTTTCGGATACACCCAGATTCATTGAGGAACCTTAAGAATAATACTGGCAATTGCTTTTGCTTCTACATTAAGCCTAGACCCCAAATCCTAAACGTGCAGGTTCGTGAGGCCACGAACGGTCCGAGAGTAGCGTGTGCAGGTTAAGAGGGACCCCAAAAGTAGAACCTCAAGACCAAGCCATAGGTGCAGCCCCAAAGAACAAGAACGTAGTAGGTTCTGACCCGCACGATTCCGCGGTATACAAAGCCACCCAGAGTAGCAGAGTCATCCTAAGCCCTATCAGTTCTCAATCGAGAGTTGCGGTGGCAGGTGGGAGACACTCAGGGAGGGTACGGGCATGGAGCCTGGAGGTTCAACTTCACTTGTGTAACAAGACCTCGCAGCTCAAGTGCCCACATTTCGAGCTGCCGCTTAAACCCTAAACCCTGGCTATCATTATCGACGTTCGGCTTGTGAAAAAGCCATCCTGTCGGAGTGAGCAACCTTTTGGATATGTGCCTCAGGATTGGGTATGCCAGTTTTTCTATCCCTGATAGTACTAGG